AATTCTACCTACACGTGATAGAGGAAGTAATTTAATACAAATAGGAATAAGATTTATCCACTCTTTCGTTTCAAGGACCCGGCAAAAAGACCTATTCTGTCAAAATATCTTAGATTGTGGCTCACACTTACAAAACTTTCTCTTCTTACGCAGCAAGTCGAGAGTGTAAAAACGGCCTTCTGGGGTGGCCGGCGGCGGCAAGGCCTGCGCTCGATAGCCGTGGTGTCGGGGGCGAAGGTCGAACGCCAGAGGGGACCGGCAGCCGCGGAAATCAATCCCGGTGCCCCGACACGCGAACTCCCTAATTCCTCCGCCCCGCTTCTTCCCCCGGGCGGGCACGGCAGGCCGGGGTCGCACGGGGGGGGGGGCCAGTTGGTCGGCAGGCCGTGGGTGGCGACGATGGCAGCAGATGGGGTGCAATACGGGGCACAGAGGGGAGGCAGCAGAAGGGACGGCATGGCGGGGGCGAGTGGCGCGGCTGGAGAAAAGAGTGGGCGAGGTCGTGCACACCAGTTCCCTGAGAAGTGATAGCCTCCGGATTCTGAATCTACTCTGCGCGTGCGGGCTGCTGATCGGAAGATTCCCACTCGAATTAATACATGAAACGGGCTTATTATGAGATTTGAATTTCAATGGCTTACCTGTCGGCTATAAAGCTGGCTAGTTAGTAGCTAGACAAGAGCAGGTACAGAACAACCAAAGATTGAAGCGGGACCATCTCCCATTACACCACCTCCCAACTTACTTTTTCTGGTTCGCAGAATGAACATCCTTGTGTGTTTTTGCGCTGGTGTACAGAATTATTTTAAATTACATGGGCAGGTAACTGATAGTACAAAGTCACTCTTGATTTATCAAATGTTAGTTGGACCCGCTAAACGTGGTTTTATACGTCAGATCAATGCCAGAAGGAATGGATTTTGTAAAGCTGAATTTGTAGACAGAAACCAAAACAAATTGAGTATAGAAGAAGATTTTGTTGGAGCAAATAGGATGATAGAGAAGGCTGTCTATGAGAGATTATGCTGCGACAAGAAAGATCGCGGCTTTAACATTTTTAACCCAACGCTATCTAATAAAGCAGTTTGGTACGTTATCAATATTTCCCTCCGTTAATTTAAGGAGTTTTAAAGGATGTTTAAGATTTAATTTAGAAACTTCAATTGCTTTTGGGAGAATATGATTTCATCTTGGTTAATATTACTCAAGATACCCGACAGAGAAATTAACAAAATGTGAGTAGGCCACAAAGAAATAGCAAATATCCATCAAACCATAGTAGCGTGACAACATTGGGCCAAGGAAATACTATAGAAGCTTGGAAAATCAGCGCGTTTCAGCAAGACGAGAATAGGCGACAGAGCAGCAAGGGGCCGAATGATGAACAGAGGCCCGAGTCCACAAATCCTTTCAGTACTCACACAGAGAATTTAAACGAGCAGGCTTTGAAGGGAACAGCCTCTCTCTTCTAACTTAACAAACGGATTTTATGGTGCATATTATTGTGACTAGCCCCTTTATGAAACTTGTTACCAGAAGATAAATTAAATAAAGGTGTTAATTCGGAAACAAGCATTCCAGTTTTAGAAATTAATTTAAGGTAATTTAAAAGTAAGTGCTTTATTGATGCGCGAATGTAATATTATTATATAATATATATATATATATATGTATATATATATATGTATATATATATATGCTATTATTGAAGAATTGAATGCCTACAAAATTATGAGATGCCAATGTTTCTTATTAACAAGTTATACTAGTATATCGTGCTTCAGTTTAATATTTAAACCAAATTTAGAGCAAATAATTCAAATAATTATGAAAGTCAATACCTTTTAATGAAGCCTTCAGAAACGGCCTTAATGCGTTTAATGATATTCGTGTTTTTCTTGGAGCGCAATGCGCTTAGTGAGAGAGGGGCTGAGGGGGAAGGCGAAGGGCTGTGGGGCGTGTTCGGGGAGCCGCAGGTTTTTCAGGCCCGGGGGAGCTGGTCCAGGGGCTGCGTCAGCGCGCTCTGCCGGGATGCAGATGGACGTGCGCTCGCTCCACTGGCGCACAGCGGGGCCCTCCCCGGACGGCGACTCAATTTGTGCATTCCCAGGCGCGGGAGCAAAAACGGAATCAGATAAAAGATGCAATGAAGTTCAATCGATACGCTTCTTATCTTGAATCATCAGAGTTTTTTTAAACTTTTAAACTGTATTTATATTGTAGCCAAAGAATAAGAGATGGAGGGGATGTTATGTAATATATTTCAGCACCAATTAAATTAAATTAACGTTGGCGACCTTAGTATGGGGATCTCAGTTGTTCTCCAGACCAGCGCCAATTGAAAAGGAGTTGTTGTGGGAGAGAACAGGTGCATTATTTAAATTAATTTTTGCACTAGAGCTCGGTGCGATTTTCTAAAGCAGAGAAAAAAATGCAGAGAATACATGAGGAACTGTTATTGAAGTTTTAAAAAAGGGTACTAATGTGCTTAATATGAATATTCCTGAGGTAAGTGTTTATTAGAGCGTAGTGATATTAACAATAGGGACTGAGAGAGAAAACATTGTTACTTCATTAGAAGAGAAAGTATTGCAAATCTGTGGAATTTCGGACAGAAAAAATCGTTATTGCCAGGCCCATGTAACAAACCAGTGAATACATATTTTTTTCGATATGTAGTAAATTACTTCCTCTTAGTCGGAATACATGTTTTGTGGGACGTTGATACCAAAAATCGAAGACAAATTGACTACAAAACATCTGTGTGACTGTCCGTCCGCCTGTGTGCCTGTGGCCACTGCTAGCGCCAACACCCTTCAGATGAATTTCCTCAAATTGACGTTCTCCGATCGATTTAAAGAAAATACAGTCTCCACGAGTTTGAAAAAAAAATTGATTTTGTGCATATCTTCACATAAAACTCCAAAAATATTTTCTAAATTGACTCAAAATTTGCAAAAAAATTTTGATATGTGTTTGTCCTCGGATAGTGTAAAAAACGCAAAAAAAGTGATTCTGGTCTCAATTTCATTGAAATCGGTGTAGAAAATTGCAAACGTTTAATTTTTTTCGTCGTTTCTAGAACTTCAATATAAAAGATAGAGACATTTTTCCTTTTCAAAATTTGTTCTGTAGAAACAAATCTATAAATAAGTACGTGTACAATATTTAAAAAAAAGTACTTTTTGCGTAGTTTTGCGCGCAATTGTCTTTAACAATTATCTTCTAAAAAATGGCTTTAATTTAAAAAAAAAACTTCTTATGTATCAAACGATGATAAAGAAATGGTGTTACACCAATTTCCGGCGAACCCTCTGTATATCAGAAAATTTGCGAATTGTTAACAATGAAAATGTGAAATATTGAAGATAAGATTTTTCTGAAACTAAATTTATTCTAAAATTTCAGATTAACGATGTACCATTCTTCGGAAGTGAGTCATTATAGTGCTATTTCCTCTTGAAATGATTTCTGCTTGATTTGAAGTAAATGGAAATTATAAAAAACAACATTTTCTTAAAAAAAGCACCAATTAAGTTATTTAATTTTTTCCACGAATAAGGAACTCTTAAAATAATGGGGTAGTTCTCATTTTTGTTCAACTCTCTCTAAATTTTCACAAATTGCTAAAGTTAAAAAATTCGAGAAAGTGTGTGTGCGGTAGCACCACTAGTTCCTTTTTAGTATAGGTACGTATATGCTACGTAATTAATAGGAAAAAGAAAGGAATTCTGTGCAAAATTGATTTTGATATTTCACGGATGCGTTGTTATTGCTTGTCCTCTTATAAATATGGAACAGGGCTGAATTTATCTGTTAGATCTTAATTTGGAAAAATTACGAAACATTAACATTTTTAAAGCTTTTTCCTGATATACAATATTGAAGATGGCGATTGTTTCTCGAAATGAAAATTTTTCCCATAATTAGTTCTTCAGTTAAGATTTTGTTTAATATTTTGAAAGTAATAGTAGTTTTGAGGTATTTTGAGTAAAATGTTGCGAATAATCAAAAACATAAAATAAAGATTTTCTTTAAACGGCTTTAAGTTTTTCTTTAATTATTTCATTTAATGGGCGGTTTGTATACATTATTGCCTTTGAGAGTAGAAATACTTGAAATATAGTTTTTTATAAACTCAATAGTTTTCATTAAAAATAAGCTCAAAATTGCGCATTTTCATATTCACTCAAACGTCATTTTTCCAAAAACGACCGCAAATTTCTTAAATAAAATGTTCAATGTTCCAAGTTTTACTCTTCTACAATAGTCTTGAGGTAATATTTTAATTGCTTCATTAAGGGAGCATGAAATTGAGTAAATGTGAAAAAATGACCTTTAGAGGGCAATAATTGACAAATGAAAAGTGGGTGATCCAGACTAAAGAGATTAGAAAATTAACTAGTACGATAATGTTTGCACCATTCAGTAGAACCACTAATTCCGCGTTGTAGTAAATGTCTCAACCTACAGACTGAAAGCTTGATTTGCTTGGAGCTTGACCGTTGCCTGCACTTCCCGAGTCTGCGCTCCCTGACCTGACGGAAACTGACGGTGTCTTCCGCGGGAGGGGGGGCAGTGCAGTCCTGCGCGGCGCGGCCGCCAGGCGCACCCGCCTGCAAAAAATAGATCTCTCGGACAAAAGGAACGGAGAACAAGCTCATCTTAATGCAACATCATCATCGGGCCAGCCCCGAACTTGGCCGAGAGCTCCCGAAGACAAATTTAGAATCTTTTGAGATTTGGAGGAGGGGCGACGTGTGGCGCGGCGGGCGCCGTCCCCACACTCGCGTCTCGCGCTTCGGGCCGGCGCCAGGGCAGAGGCCTCCGAGTCGTGTTCGATGCCCGGGCCGGGCCGCGGGCCGGTGCGCCCCGCATGAGCCGCTTCCCGCCGCCCTCGCCGCCGCCGCCCTCGCCGCCCTCGCCGCCGCCCTCGCGGCCGTCTTCGCCGCCGCCGCGTTCGCGCCCGCGCCCGCCGGCAGCGGAGCGCGCGAGCCACCATGCTGGATATCTTCCGGGGTCTCAAGAACCTCATCAAAGTCACCTACGTGCACATCGACTCGCCCGTGTTCCGCCTGCACTACAGCATCACCGCCATGATCCTGATCGCGTTCAGCCTCATCGTGACGACGCGCCAGTACGTGGGCAACCCCATCGACTGCATCCACACCAAGGACGTGCCCGAGGACGTGCTCAACACCTTCTGCTGGATCCACTCCACCTACACCATCAAGTCCGCGTTCAACAAGACGGTGGGCGTGGAGGTGCCGCACAAGGGCATCGACAACTCCAAGGCCAAGGCGGAGGACAAGAAGTGCTACATGTACTACCAGTGGGTCTGCTTCTGCCTCTTCTTTCAGGTAGGTGTTGTCCGGCCTGAATGCGGTAAGTGGGTCGTGGTCTTGACCCATCGTGGGTGGTAGCGCCGCGCTGACCTGAGTCTATTTTGCGGTCGGCTGCCCGTCGCCCGCTTTCGACAAAAGACGTTGCACTAGTGTTGACACAGACAGAGGCTCCGACTCGCCTTTGACTTGGTGCCACGTGTTTACGTCATTCCATTTGGCCCTCGCTGCGGAAGCCACGCATAAATGTGGTTCTGACTCGTCTTTGGAACTGCAGAAGAAACGTGTTTGAGTGTCTTTTTTACGTCAGTTTTAATTCACGAGCTGACAATATATCATATTTCGTACTTAAGAATAGTAAGAATACAACAACAGCTTTACCTTGATTTCATTTCGTTCCTTTATCGGTGATTGCCACTACGGCGAATTTATCTCTTTGTAATGACGTAACAAATATGCCAGACGAAACGTATTAAATGCGGGAGAGAACTAGGCCGTTTTGACTGATGTCGTGTTAGCGAAATCGCCTGTGGTCGTAAAGGTTCGCTTTCGAATGACCCTATAGGTGGTGAGTTGTTCACAACCGAGGATATCGTCTGTTCGCACGCAAGCGCATGTTGAGCATCTTCGAAAGCCTGGCTCTCCTCCTTGCCGTGTGTTATCGTAAGGCCTGACGCTTGTGATCTCCATTGCAATGCCTCAGCTTATCTCTTTTAGACAATTGCCACTAGAACTCTTGTTTGAAGCATAATACTAGAAATCTGGATCCCTTGACTATAAAGACGAATACAGAATATTGATTCATATTTTAAGCGTGATGCTTTTTGTTGTGCTTTCCAACTTCTCCGACATGCAAAAGTAGTTTTTTAAACTGTTAATGGTGATGGTCTAAATATTAAACGTCAAGACACATGCGCAAAATTTCTACAAATCACTATCTATAAAAGCGATACTGTTTTGGATTGCTACTTGTAAGAAATGGAGCAGCAATACCGGTATGAAAAAATAACCATTACCAGCTGAACCTGTGCAATTACATCGAACAAAATAAAGACCTGATGTAAAGCTACAAAAGAAAAGTGCTATAAATGCCCAATACGGTTAACCGTAAACCTCAATTTTTTGTTTCATTTCGTTCAGTAGTTATTTTCCCAATGAATAGAGAGGTTTTCACATACAGGAACAATACAATCACTACTCATTGCGAATACAGAAATAAGTAAACATGTTTCTGAAAATATAATTCAAATAATTTTTATTTCCCAAGATTTGAACGTAATATATTACATTCTATTAGAAGTAAAATCATTAAACATTTTTTGTTAACACACTTATCAAACTATTACTGGATATTCTCTTTATGTACGTTCACTAATCTTAGCAGTTAAAAGCTCTCAATAATCTTTTAACTTAAAAACTCGCTATGAAACATTGTCTTCTTTCAATAGATCTGTTTAAACTCACAAAACAAAATGACTAAGACAATAAACTGCATAAAATGTACTAGGTTTTGAAAACGACGCAATATACAAATGACAGCAGATTTGGTGTTTATATTTTTTATTAATTGTAAAATTTATTAAAATTTAATTTTCATACACTAAAACCTGTGAAAATAGTAAGCAATAACCCATCTGGGACCTAAAAACTTTCATATAAAATCACGAAATTTGGTTGAGTAGAGAGTTCTCATTATTTTCTACACAGAAACTCTTAGTTTTTTAAATTAAAGATTAAGACATTGGGAGTCTGTTTTGCATACCATGTGAATAAACATTGAGAGGAAAATATATTCAGTGTCTTACGTTTCTAATTGTGACAGTGATTAGTTGAAAGAGTACGTCGTATTGTCAATAATAAAGAAATGTTTTATTATTATTTGCTCAGCAGCTGAGTGCTTGTGATGGGGCCCAGTTGCCCATTCATGTCACTATTAGGAAAGAGCTCGGCCCTTGCTTGGAGAAACTTCTCAGTTCCCGAAGCTTGGCATTGGGAATCTCATTAGTTTAGGAACGTGTGTTCTCTATGACATACTTGCAGACGACACTTCCTAACCATAATTTAGTACTTATTTAGATAATCCCATTTTTTAGACTACTCCTGAAGTTTTTCGTAACTACACCATAAAACGAATTCGCAAATGCGTATGTTGTCTCACTATTCCACTCCAAAGTTGTTTTATTGCTAGGGCAAGCAATTAGTTTTTATTATTATAAATGAAATTAATACGGAAATCCTTTTTTGGATTTTAAAGAACGATTGACTGAAAATAATAGAATATTTTGTCATAAAATCCGGGTTTAAAAAAACGTTTCTTGTTGAATAGAATATAGATAAGTAAAATGTTTTACAGTACTATTCATATGTTTAGAATGCTTACTACTAACTTACATACTATGCTTAATAGAATACATGGGCGAGGAAGCTAATTAGGCGCATCTGTTAATTGTGAATTTCAGAGATTTATTTAGGAATACATGAAGCGGGTATTTATTTTGAATTCGGGTCAGTTTAGGATTGATGTAGGATTTCGGCCGAGGTTGAATGCATTTAGTGTGGGGATTTGTGGTAAGGTGAAATAGAAGTTGGTGCGAGGTAATTAAAATGGTTGGCTATGGGTTCGATGGATAGTTCTTTGTAAAGTTGGTCGTTGATGACAACCTAGGGGAATTGGCGATTTTCCTTAGGTACGCATTTAGGATAATTTGTATTTTGTGTATATTGGTTTTTGCAGCGTTAATCCGGGCGGGTCACGAGTATAAAAGGAGGGATCTTAATATGGTTTTGTATATTATTGTCGCTGTGCTGTAGTGGAGTGAGGCATTTCTATTGATAATGTTTTAGTTGTAGTAATTTTATTTTTGCTTCATTAATTTTAGTTTTTATGATTTTTCAGCTAAGTTTCGCGTCTACGTTGAGACAAAGATATTTAATTGTGCTATTCAAGGATTATCGGTTCGTTGTTTAATGTCAAGGGAGCAGGAAAAGTGTAAGGTCTTCGGATGAATATTTTGACAGCTGTCTTTGATGGGTTTAGTTGGATTTTTAGTTTATCGGACCAGCTATTCATTAGATTAAGATATATTTGCATTGTTTTACGTATTAAAAAACCGTGTTGGGCAAACCGGGAGAGACTCCGTCTGGTGGACTACGCCTGCGCAGCTGTATGGCGGTGACCCGCAGTACAGATACGTTTTGCGGTGCGAGATACTTTCGCAGGCGCATTTATTCTGAAGTTTCCCAAGAGGTTCCCAAAAAATTGCACGAGAAATATCCGTGAATAAAGTTAGCCTGAGTTAAGAGACATTATTCGTCGTACACTCCGTTTGATTAAATTGCGGAAGATTTTCCTTTGCAATCGTAAAATATTGTTTACCTATTAAAGTAGTTTTAAATTTTATTTATTCACTTTCTAATTAACTGTGAATAGAGGTTTGAAAGAGCTAAACATCGATAATATGATACGTTTTGACTTTGACGGTTCCGCAGAGAGATGCATTTAAGAAGCGCTGCAGTAGAGGCGCGTTTCGCTTTGTCTGTCCCTGGAGCTGCCAGTGGCGTGTCGGCTCGGCTCGTTCGAGTTTCGTGCCTGGAGGTTTCGTATTGACGCAGTCAGGCGATACGGTAATTGACTCGGTGAATGAGAGAGAATTTACCACCCGATATACTGGATATTACCCAATACTCATTCTAGTTGTAACTTATTACTATTTTAAAATAAGTATTTGGTAATAAACCGTATTCGATAATAGCAAAATAAGATGAATAATTTGAATGAATACTCTATTTTAAATTAATCTAGTTTTACTGATTTATACTGTACTGATTAACACCTCATTAATTCGACTCCACTAACTCTACGAAATCGTCTCGTATTATGAAATTCAAATCAGCATTGCATATTTTTAACTAATAAAAGGAAAGATCCACACATTTTAAACGGCAATAGAGGACGAATAAATTATTTTCTTTCTGCTGAACCACTTCCGTTGAACATTTCATCTTAGCGTCCGTGGGACCCGCAGGCCACGTGACTCATGCGAACATTTTGCTGGAGACTAGTCCAACGCGAGGCAAGGGAAGGAACTACTGCACATGAATGTCATGAACTATATTTGTTGCAAGTAAATCAGAAAATTAATGTTTTGCACCAAAACCTTCGTTAAGGAGTGAATTATCTGCGTTTGTGTCTTAAAACGAGGGACATCGCGTACCGTGAAATGATTTTGGAATGTTTGATGTTGATGACTCAATAAATCTTCGTTCCGGAAATACTGAGTTGTTTGATGTAAAAAGGGTAAAATATACTAAGACATTTACATTGGAAATATTTTAAGACATATGTCCTTGTTCATTACTACTTTCCGAAATTAACCTGTGGGAGCATAAGTAAAGCCGCCCTCAACTATGAAGTACCATCGTAAGATGCCTTTCCAAAATACCATGTGTGAAGTACGCACTTTATTCTTAGTTTAAAGACTCGTGGCAAATGTTAATTATTTTTATGTAAAAATGAAAGTATTACGCATTTTATATTATTTTCCATTATGTTAAAGTCATAACTTAATACGAATAATTAATTCATGCGAGGTTAGTTAATTTGTGTTCTCAGTAGAAGATCGCATTTTGCGTTGTGCTTGATAAGAAAAACAATAAATATACCATTTTTATTGAAAATAGATTTATTTGTGCAGTAACGATTACAAATCTACCCAAAATGTAGTGGTAAAATAATAATAATTATTATTGCCTTACAATGATGTTTGTCCGTGCTTCGGGGATTAGTTCACAGACTTCAGTGTTGCACGTTATTATTTTCTACATTATATGGGTTATTTACATTATATATGCAGAACAAAATAATCATAAATCATTATATCTCTACATCCACTACAGCACGATATTGTAGTAATTGAGATGCATTGCCAATTAAGCCCCGCCGCTTTGACAGTATATAATAACGAGCTATACTGCTGTATGTTAAGTAATTTTCTATTGCAAGTAGTTCCACATCCGTTAGTATGGTTCATGTAAATTATTACTGCTGTGTAACCACTCATGATGGGGAAATAAATATCAGA